TATGTAAAATTGAAAAAAGTGGTTTTGACTTTGGTTTGAGAATTTCTAATGCCTTTTAGGTGTCACTGCTGGTTATGAGATGAATTATGCCCCCCTCCCCATCTTGTGTATTTCAACCTTAACTCCTAGTGTCTTAGAATGTGACTTTTTAAGATCAGGTCATTACAGACGTAGTGAAGTTAACATGAGATCATTAGGATAGTCCCTAGTCCCGTGTGACTGGTGTCCTTAATTAAAGGGGACAGAATGAGAATGCCTGGTGAAGGTTGGATTTAACACTGCCACAGCCAGGCAACCACCAAAAGCAAGATGTGAGGGTCTCTAGAAAAGTAGAGCCAATGGGCTGGGGAAGCATAGAGAGATTTATTTTAAAGAATTAACTCACATGAGTGAGAAGGCTGGTGAATCTGAAACTCACAGTGCAGGCCTGCATACTAGAGACCCAGAAAACAGTCGGTGTTGCAGCTCAAGTCCAGAGGCAGCTGAAGGTAGAACTTGCTCTTCTTTGGGGGACCTCAGACTTCTTTCATTCAGCCTTACGACTGATTGGATGAGGCCCAACCACATGGAGAATAACCTGCTTTGCTCAGAGTCTATTAATTTAAATGTTATGCTCATCTAAGACATAGCTTGGTGGTGCTGTTTAGACTGGTACTTGGTCAAATATCTGGGGACTGTGGCCTAAGTTGACACATAGAATTAACTATCCGAGCATCAAGGCATGTGGACCAGATCCTTCATAGCCCTCAAAAGGGAGCTATCGTGCTCATGACTTGGAGCTCAGACTTCAAGCTTCCAGAATGATGAGACATTAAATTTCTGTTGTTTTAGCCCACCAGTCTTTGATGCTTTATTACAAACAAATGCATTAGACTGAAGACCCCAAATAGGGAGTCAGCCTTCACGGGGTTCGCCAACTTTCTTCCAGTCCCTTTCAATGTGTTGGCAGCACATCCCTGTCCCTTTAATTCAGAGTATAAATTAGCAAAGGGATGCATATACACCGTGCTTCATTTTACAATATGCAGAGGTGATTTCCTCTCCTTGGACCTACGTGTTGCCTTCTCTCCCCGTAGCTCAGAGGGAACAGGGGCAGGGCAGCAATACAGAGAAGTGCCAGTGCATAGCAAGGGTATAAAAGAGGGAAGAGGATGAAATTACCATGTTTGCTTCATTGCTGCACATCGCTGGGGTCATGGTGGGATTTTTTTTGTAGCTTACCTTCGTGAAAAGGTGGCGTGAAGAAAAAGTTCATGTGTGTAAGTGAAATGTGCCAATGCCCCTATACTTCTCGTTGTCTCCTTTGCCACTCACCCACTCCCCCAGCATGGCCACACTCCTTTTGCCAGGAGAAGGCAGAATCTGAAGAGGCATGAACACCCTGCTGTGTCCTGGTTTGCTTTGTTTCCTTCCCTGTACTGTGTTCATTACAGGAGGCTCCTGAGAGGAGCGATTACATATACACTGCAAGGTGGACTTCAAACCTTGTTTATCTTTGCAACACAGCACCCAACAGAGGTGATGGAGCAAAGGAAAAGACAATAATAAATACTGAAATGAAAATGAGTCCTGACAGGTTCCCACCTCTGGGCCTGGCTTAGGTTCCTAATTGGATAGGTTCCTCTTGGAAATCAGGCAAGACTTTGTGTGTCCTTCCCATTCTATAAGGACAGATGTAAGGTCCTGCTCCTAAAGGATAAGCAACCACCTCAAGGTGTGAAGGTACTGATCGAAATGTCCCACTCGGGTTTCTGTGTGATTTTCAGTCTCTTGCTGAAAGCTGTTCCTCCTCTGCCCTCTCTCTCTAGGTGTTTAGGTTCCTGCAAGTTACTTTGCAACTGATGAAGATTTCAAGCTAAAGATGATGGTGATAAAGAGCCTGAAGGTCACTCTTCAAGCAGCTCCCTGCAAGTCTCTGTGTAAAAGGTTCCTGGTTCCCAGGTCCGTGAACCAAGTTCCTCCAGTCTCTATACCTGCACCTAAGAACCCGAAACTGATCCTGTGAGTACAACACTTCCCTAAGGACAGCAGAAAGTCTTGTTGAATTTATAGCAATTGTGGGTTAAGCATTTATAGATACGATGTCATTAGCATTTTGGTGTGAGATTAGATGCCTTAAGAACTATCCGCATAACCATTTGTTATAGATCCCCCCCTCCCCGTACCAGGGATTGAGCTCAGGACCTTAGACTTTCGAGGCAGGCGCGGTGCCACTGAGCTAGATCCCCAGCCCTGCTATAGGTTTATTAAAATAAATGTGGAAAATCCTTTCTTAACTGGCCTTAGCATGCTAAAATAATGGCGTACAGAAACTGGATAAGACAGATGTCCCCTTTCAGATATCTCAGAACCTGGTATCTTTAGCATTTCTTGTTAGCAGTTACTTTTTACTAGGTTGATCTACAGACTGCAAATTATTTCTGTGAGTCTTAGCTTTCCAGAAGTTGGCATATTAATGTTTGCATGCATTTCAGTAGCTTCATGTTGCAGAATCTTCTGCTTTGAGTTGCAAATCCCATAGTTAATACTAGCTGAATGGCTTTGGTGGAAAATGGGAGACCAGGTGAGGCAGCAGGTGGTCTTTCTCTTCCCTTGCATACACAAACCGCCGTCCATGTGAGAATGCAGGGATTCTCCTCCTGATGATCTTTGCTGCTGGGAGCGGTCTTGAGCCCTGTATGTGTTGAATGACATCCCTGACCTCTACCAATGGTGCTCTCGCCCAAATAACCATGTTCAAAAGTGCCTCAAGACATTTCCAAATGCCCCACTTCCCTGGTAGAGAACTACTGTGATGATAGGAGGGAATATACTATATGTGACGGTGTATCGGTTATTTTATATTTTCCACTGTTTGTAATGAATTGGCACAGCTTTTAAATACTACTTCACTGCAAAACTCCAGGTTTCTCTACTTTTCCTCTATGTGTTTACTCTCTGTACCCAAATGCACATAAGAAAAGGAATTCCAAGCTGGGTGTGGTGTTGTGCACCTGTAATTCCAGCACTTAGGATGCTGAGGCAGGACTCCAGCCTAGGTTACATAGAAGTCTAGCCTGAACAACATAGTGAGACCCTATCTCAAAAAATAAAAAGAAACAAAAGGAACTCATTAGGAAGTCATACTAATCTGGCTAAATTTGATGCCTTGAAACTGCTTCCTGACTGTTTTTATTGTAAGTTTATTTTTGCCACTACAGTATTGACTGTGTTCTCATTGACATGAACCTGCTGTGATCATAACTTCTGGTAGCCGAGAGTGCCCACATCCTACCTAGGCTGGCTTATTCTGAACACTGGCACTTTGTAGAGTAAAGCTTAAAATGGAAAAATTAGTCATACTAATCTAGTTACTTAACGTTTTGTGTAAGTGTAGGTTTTTTCCCTTGATTTTTTTTTTTGGTACCGGGGATCGAACTCAGGACCTTGGACTTGTGAGTCAGGCGGCGGTACCACTGAGCTAAATCCCCGGCCCTCCCTTGATTTTTATATTGGTTATTTTTAGTTGCAGATCTTGAAAATTGGGTCCAAGTCAGTACCCTTACGTCCTTAGGACAGTTCACTCCTTTCACTGCTGATAAAAAGCAAACAGTTGTGGCTTGGGGCGGTGGCAGCGTCGCTTGATTAATTTCCCACAACATGTAACACGTTGTTGGTTCTAAGCTGGTTGGAAGAACAGGGCACAGTGGCCATGAATTTGGTTTTCGGCATCTTAGGCTGTCCCCGCCTATCTGCACCCAGGAGAATATCACGCACGGTCTTTGCTGCCTCGCTGAGCACTTCCGGTTCTGCTGTCCTCACTTGCGTAGTGGTAAAAGCAGCAGTCATTGTTCCTGGCAGCCCAGTAGCCCAAGGGGAAGCCCAGGGTACATGGTGACCAAGAATGACCCAAGATGGTTGAAGGTTAGAAAAGGAGGCATGCAGAATCCTTTGCTGGTGCCTGCCTCACAGTGAGGACTCTGTGTTGGTTGCTGCTTCTCATGAGACAGAATCACCTTCATCATCTTTACTGTCATCACCAGCTCGATGCCTCCTTTGGATGTTTAAATCTGAACATTTTCACGATGAGGTAAAGCAGTGTGCAAGTGAAGGTCGACGGTTATGGCATATTCCGAAAGCAGATGTCATGGTAGCCCTGTGCACTGTGCTTGCTACTTTCCTCCCTGCAGGTCATCTTTGGTTGGCTACTCAGATTGCATTATCTCAGTGAACTGGCTAACTGTTGACAATCCGCTAACTTTGGGGACTTGTAATATAACAAAATAAAGTCAAAAGCCAACACCTATTACTCAACGTAAAAATAAAATCAGTTTCGCTTAGTTGATCACTAGTGAAACTGAGCCTGTTTGTCACCTATAAAAAATATAGGTATGAGATCCTACACCATAGATTAATGATACTAATTCAGAGATTAATGAGATATAAAGAATTTCAGCTAGAATGGAAATAGCACCAGGTTGATAGTTTTCCAGTGATTGCTAGTGTTTGTGATTTCCCTACATTTAGAAGAAGAAAAACATTTATTTTAAAGGTAACTTGGACTTTGAGCCTGCAAAGGTAGCGCATGCCTTTAATCCCAGCACTCTGGAAGACTGAGACAGGAGGAGACTGGGCAACTTGCTAACTTAGTGAAACCTTCTCTCAAAATTAAAAAAAAAAAAAAGAAGAAGAAGAGGAAGAAGAGGAAGAGGAAGAAGAAAGAAGAAGAGGAAGAGAAGAAGAAGGAGAAAATAAGGGCTGAGGGTGTAACTCAGTGCAAAAGCCCTGGCTGGGTTCAATCCCCAGTACTATAAAACAATAAAAAAAAAAGAAGAAGAAAAGATAACTTGGCTTGAAAGGCACTGTCTAAAATGTAGCAACAAGCCACTTGTGGTTATTTATGTGTAAATTTAATTCATAAAAATTTTGTAGCCACATGTAACCACTCCTTACTATATCGTACATTTTCTTCTACGTTGTAATTGTGTTACAAAGTTATTCTCTTATTTTTCCAAATAACTTTGAAAATCACCAAACCTGAAGAACAATGGCATTAACAGGCTTGCTTTACAATGTCTGCACAAAGAACTGATAGAGGCTGGGATGCCTAGGCCTCTGTTGTCTTTCATTAACTGTCCATTAACCTTGAAAGACAATGGGCTGATTATGAGCCCCATGGAATTGCAGTGGCCTCAGAGATATCTTCAGCTTCCTGGGACCAACAGATAGTCCTGGAACACACCACAGGAAGTGTGCAATTAGTCTCCTGCACTGATGGATACGCCCAGGCTTAATGGACTCAGCATCAAAGTGCCTTCTACAGTCCTGTGTTCCAACAAGGCCCTTTGTGATTCTGTGATTATCCTCAGCACACTCCTTGGGAGTGTCCCTGTGTATAGGGTCACTGCTCTAAGGATGAGGCCTCCAAAGATGGTCTTCAGTTATGGAAATAGTATATCCTGCATGAAAAGGGAAAAATGTAGCAAGGCATCAGATAAGCAAACCAGGGTATGAAGCAGTGCTACCTAATGGGTGTGTGATATGAGCCACAAAGGTAATTCTGATTTTTCTAATAGGTTAGAAAGGGAGGAAAGAAGTGAAATTGATTTTAGTCGTGATTTTATTTAATCCAGTATATTCAGAATGTTATCATTTTCACATGTAATCAGTGTAAGAATTACTCCCGAGCAGGTTTACATTCTTTGTACCATGTCCTCATAGCCTGTGAATGTTTCCCCTTTCCAGAGTCTCTTGCTTTGGACTGACCAAGGGCAACAGCAGGGGGAGACTGGAGCGTGGGGAGGAAGAGGAGGAAGGAGATGAGACCCCGAGGTGGGTTGGAATAGGAACCCTCACTCGGGCCTTGGAGGCAGGAGTCACGGCTTGATGTGGAGTTCTTAGGTCGGACACACGATGAAGGTGGTGATTTACGGAGACTGCCAAGTGTGGGAGCACGGGAGTCGGGGATGTGAGAGAAGAGGGAAAGCCACTAAGAGGATTAGCATGAAGCCGGGGTGCAGGGGTCTCAGCTAGGCTGGTGGTCATGGGCAACGCAAGGAAGAGATGACTATGAAAGAGAGAGAAATATGAAATACAGAGTTCAAATACCTCCCCAAACTATAAATTCCATTGTTTTAAAAAAATTTTAGCATATATACTAATTGGTTTCATGTATACTACTAGTTTTTCTTCGTTGAAAAGAGATTTGTGTTATTACCTACTTGTTGCGTTTTGTAAGAATCTTTTGGGGGGCCGGGGATTTAGCTGAGTGGTTCCACTGCCTGCCCCACAAGCGCAAGGTCCCCGGTTCGATCCCCGGTACTAAAAAAAGAGAATCTTTTTGGTTTGCATCTTGTACTCTGACTATTTTGAAGATAACAATACACTATGTAATAACTATTGTTATTCTCTTATTATTTGATTCTGAAATTTTGTCTTATTTTTTCATAAAATAAACTTTTTAAAAAGAATGTGGTGATCAGTTGCATAATTGGAAATAAAGCAAAAAGGGAAATCAAACCTTCCCAACAGTGCCCTTAATCTTACTCATTTGATCCACAAGTATTGATTGAATGCCTGCTGATTTACAGAGTCACCAAAGGTAGATAATTAAGCATGTATTGCATATAATTATAACTAAACCTCTGTAATAAATGTTGCAGAGAAAAAAATCCCAGTGCTATGATTTAAGAACTCTAGTAGCAGAAGGTCACATTTTAAGAAGATAGGCAGAGAAGTGAGGAGATGCTGAGCCGTAATAGGCGCACACAGCAAGTGGAATGGGGGAAATTGATTGGGAGCAAAGGAGGAGGATCAGAAACCGAGGGGCCAAGGCAGGAATGAGCTTTCCTTGTTTGAATAGCTGATGAAATACATGGCACAAGCATAAATCCAATCCAGAACTAGTCGTCTAATAAGAACTAAAACTAAATACATCTTTCCTGTGGACTCTGAAGGGATTTGTTGCTCATCAGTGACAGATTATTGACGCCTGGTTTTTGGGGGTTTTTTTGGTACCGGGG